AGCCAGTATTATGCTTAGTAATGAAATCATCCCTAGAGTCAGGAACAAGACAAAGATATATACTGTCATATCTATGATTTAATATTGTATTGTATTGTATTTTCTAGCCTATACATTTACAAACAAGAAATAAATTAGAGATAAAATAATTAGAAAGCTGTAATTAAAAGTACTACTATTTTCCTAAGTTATAAGCATTACCTCAAAAACCCAGAGATTAAAAGAAAAAAAAAAAAAACCCTACAGCCACTTAAGAAACTGGCAAGACTTTTATAAAGAAAATCTTATAGAATGACAACAGAAACTGAAACAAATGGAAAGACGTATCTGTGTTATTAACCTCTTAAAGATGTCAGTAGGCCCTTATATAATTTATAAATTTAACTTGATACCATAAAAATTCTAATTGCTTCTTTTTCTAACCAGAATTAAATTGATCTTAATGGGAAATTCATATGGTAAAATAAACAAAACAAAAACTCTGTAAAAGAGAAATATGGATAAAAGGGGGATGAGCATACCAAATATTAAAACATACTCATGTTATAAAACCTGAAAAGAGACTGGAAGATAGACAAATAAAGACAAAGTCCAGAAACAAACTCATATACATATGTGTATGTGTTATTACACTTTATACCACAATGAAATCTAAATGAATCAGAGATATTAATATGAAATGAAATAATATTCTAGGAAAAAACATGGAAAAATTCTTTCATTTTACCCCTCATGGGAAAATTCTTTTAAAGCCTTGAAGAAGAAATACCTTTTTAAATATGATTCAAAAATCCAGAAGTCATGAAAGAAAAAAAATGAATAAATTTAACTAAATAAAAATACAAAACTGTGTATGTGGTTAAAAAAATCATAATTAAAATCAAAATGACAAAACGGTAAAAATATATTTGCAATTTATATCATAGGCAAAGTACTAGTTTCCCTAACATATAAAGAGCACCTATAAATTAAGGACACAATATTTTAATACACAAAAGAAACAAACAGTTCACATTAAAAAAATACAAATGGTTTTTAAATGTACGTAAAAATACTTAACCACACTAAGGGAATGCAAATTAAAATCATACTGAAATATTATTTTTTACCTATCAAACTGGCAAGTATCAAAAACAATACATCACATACTGTGATGGTAAGGATGTGAAAAAAAGGCAAAATTATACATTTCTGGTTTGCTAATAAGATGATAAAACCTCCATAGTAGCAATTTGAAAATATCTATCAAAAGGTTCAAACCTCTGACCCAACAACTTAATTGCTTGAAATGTACCCTGCAGATACACACATATGTATGTATACAGCATGTGTATAATGTACCTAAATGTCAACAGTTAAAGACTAAGAAAAGTACAAAAGACAAGTGACATAAAACAATTTGTAAAGTATGTCTATCTGAAGGGAAAAAAGCAAGGTGCAAAATTGAATCAAGTATGCTACCATCTAAATAACAAAGGAGAAGGAGAATATATGCACAAATTGTATTTCATGTATGAACGCAACCACCACTGGACAAATACATTGAGAGGAAAAAGCAGGCGACTGAGGGATAGGGATTAGAGAAAGACCTACTATACACTCTTTGTAGATTTTGAACTTTACCAAATGAATGCATTTTCTATCTAAAAATGAAGTTAATATTAAATAAATTAAATAAAATGTAAAATGTCGCCTGCTTTCAACAGCTTCCCACCACCCTTAATTCTAAATGTCTTAAGATGGTCTTGTAAAATCTCACATGATCTGTGACTTCTTATTTCCCCAGTTTCATCTCTAACCACCCTCTCCACATTCCACAGCCCAGCTACCCGGAACCTTTTTCAGTTTCTTAAACAAGCTTGATACCATCTTGTTTTTAAACTTTAGCAAAATGCTATTCTTCAGGGCGCCTGGGTGGCTCAGAGGTTTAAGCCTCTACCTTCAGCTCAGGTCATGGTCTCAGGGTCCTGAGATGGAGGCCCCATCAGGCTCTCTGTTCAGCAGGGAGCCTGCTTCCCCCTCTCTCTCTGCCTGCCTCTCTGCCTACTTGTGATCTCTGTCTGTCAAATAAATAAAATCTTTTAAAAAAAATGCTATTCTTCTCAAAGAATCATTCTTCATCACTCTTCATCACCCTCTTCATATGACTAATGCCTACTACAAAGACTCAACTTAAACAAAATTAGTGCCTCCATAAAGCTTTCCTTGACACCCATCCTTAGGTCTAAGTTGGACGCCCACCTCTGTGCTCTCACTGTAGCCTAGACTTGTCCTAGCATAGTGCTTTTTATGATATACAGTAGTTTAGTTTAATCATCTGTGTCCCTCAAGAACCTAAATTGCTGAAACAGAAGCACTGTATTTATCTGTATTTCTACTGAAGTCCCAGAAATAACTCTGTCTGCTGTACAGCTGGCACTTAATGAATATTTATAAGTGAACTGAATTAATGCACTTACTGAGTGAGGGAATAAATGTATAAATGAATAAGTGAATTAGATAAGAAGAAAGGGAGGGGCACAGATAGATTCATTCAGTAAAGAAAATAAGACAAGTTCTACTACAGGCTTTTCCTTAATATATGTTCCTTAAAGTCATCTACATATCTTGTCTATTAACAGTCCTCGTACCAACTTCAAATATTCCATTACTGCCAATAGACTCTAATCCCTATAAAATTGTTAACTGACAATAAAATGGCCATATACTTTTATTCCAATTTGCTACTGAAGCTAAAAGAGTTCTAAAGTTGATTTTATAAATATTCTGTTCTGTGACTGAAGGGTTTGATTCTATTCTGCAGCACATGAATGTTTCCCAATTTATAGTTATCATTAATAGACAAAAGTATTGGGCGCCTGGGTGGCTCAGTGGGTTAAGCCGCTGCCTTCAGCTCAGGTCATGATCTCAGGGTCCTGGGATTGAGTCCCGCATCGGGTTCTCTGCTCCGCAGGGATCCTGCTTCCCTCTCTCTCTCTCTGCCTGCCTCTCCATCTACTTGTGATCTCTCTCTGTCAAATAAATAAATAAAAATCTTAAAAAAAGAAATAGTCAAAAGTATTTAGCGATCTGAATACAAACATGAATTCAAAAAATTCTATTCTCTAATTTCATATAACATCTTAAAATTATTAATCTTTCTTATATCATACCCTGGATTTTTGCATACTTCTGCAGTTTAATCTTGCAAGTGACATTTCCAGGCAATAGAAATACTTTGAAAATTAACAAACTACAGCAAACTTTTGGTATTGAAAGATTTAGCACTTGTGTATTCAGCTTCCTCAATACACATAAAATCCAATGTGTTAATGAAAACCACAATGAGATATCACTCTACACCTATTAGGATGGCTTTTACTTTTGAAAAGGCAAACAGAAAATTACAAGTATTAGAGTGTGCAGGAATTGGAACCCTTGTGCACTGCTGGTAGGAATATAAAATGATGCAACTGCTGTGGAAAAGAGTTTGGCAGTTCCTCAAAAAGTTAAACAAAGTTGGGCACCTGGGTGGCTCAGTGGGTTAAAGCCTCTGCCTTCGGCTCAGGTCATGATCCCAGCGTCCTGGGATCTAGCCCCACATCGGGCTCTCTGCTCTGCAGGGAGCCTGCTTCCTCCTCTCTCTCTCTCTCTCTGCCTGCCTCTCTGCCTACTTGTGATCTCTGTCAAATAAATAAATAAAATCTTTAAAAAAAAAAAAAAAAGTTAAACAAAGTTACTATGTGATCCAGCAATTCTCATCTAGGTATATACCGAAAATAATTGAAAGCAAGACTTAAACAGATACTTATACACCAAATATTCATAGCAGCATTATTCACAACAGCCAAAAGATGGAAAGAACCCAAATGTACATGAACAAATGAATGGATAAAAAAAATGAAGTGCAGACATACAATGAAATACTACTCAGTCTTAAAACAGAATGAAATTCTGATACTGGAATGAACCTTGAAGACATTATGCTAAGTGAAATAAATTAGAAACAAAAGGATAAATATATGATTCCACTTATACACCTATAATAGGCAAATGCAAAATACAGAAGGTAGAATAGAGGTTACTAAGGGCTGTGGGAAGAGGAAAATGGGGAGCTATTTAACTAGCGTAGATTCTATGTGGGATGATGAAAAAGTTCTGGAGATGGTTGCATGGTGATTATGGCACAATATTGTGAATGTACTTAATGCCACTGAATTATACATCTAAAAATGGTAAAGCAGCAGATTTTATTATGTATATCTTCCTACACAAAAGAGAAAAAATCTTAGGTCCTATCGTCAAATTAACTCAACATGTCCAAGACTGCATTTACTATCATCCCTCCTAAGCCAAATTCCAACCCCAATTTTCCCATTTCAATCAAGAGAGTTAAAGCTTAAAATACTGGAGTGCCCTCTGCTTCCTCTCATTTCTTTACTAGGTCCCCTTTATCGTTATGCTCTAAAAATACATCCTTCACATCGTTCATGCTTTCTTTTGCAACTATCTTATTAAGTCATCTTACCTATGGACAAGAGACTTTAAAACTTATCAAATTTCTAAACTTAACCAATATAGCATAAGTTTACTAGTGTTAAATAGTAAAACTAATAGAAGTATATAAAATTTTAAGAAAAATTGGGGTGCCTGGGTGGCTCAGTGGGTTAGGCCTCTGCCTTCAGCTCAGGTCATGGTCTCAGGGTCCTGGGATCGAGCTCCGCATTGGGCTCTCTGCTCAGCAGGGTGCCTGCTTCCCTTCCTCTCTCTCTCTGCCTGCCTCTCTGCCTACTTGTGATCTCTGTCTGTCAAATAACTAAATAAAATCTTAAAAAAAAAAATTATTTTAAGAAAAATTGAACTGTTTATTACTATAAAAGTAAAAATAAATCACTCCACTATTAAATTCTAACTTTGATCAAAACAATGGCTTAATTTTTAAGAACATCCTTATTTATATTGGTTATTTATACTACTTCACATTAATCTTCCAATGTCATCAATGAATATTTCACACCTACCTTTGTATGATATTCCATAGCATCCAATTCACCTTGATTGAAAACGACACATCTTTTACGCTTCTAAAGAGTAAATTACAGAGACAAAATTATGTTGCCATCTATCACAATACTGATATTTTGAAATATATTAGTATTTCTTCGTTATCACGTTTTCCATAGTGTGTATCTTAGTCTTTAAGAGGTTAATCGACAAGGAAGGTCAAAATCAGTGAAAAGCATATGGACTAAGGAAATAAGCTTTCCCAAATAAAAAAATTACTATGTATTGTTATTATTAATTATTATTGTTATTACTACAAACTTAATGAATGATATAAGGTCACCTAACCTGTATCTGCTATTAATAAGAACTAGTACCAATGATAAAATGTAGCACAGACATCCATGGAACACAAGAAAACTGTGACACTGTGTATATTACTAGTGTCATCTATCAGCTGATATATATCACACAATTCTCAACTTCATTTATGAGGAAAGGAACTATTCATATACTATCATTTGAAAAATCCCTTGCATTTTCAATAGCTCTTAATGACTGATCTGAGGGCTAGGTATAAATCAGATATACTAACACCATTCTGTATCTAACAACTCCACAGAAAAGAACATGTAAGACAGTGCAAAATAGAGCAGGGACTTCATACCTCTTATTGCTGAAACATGAATGCATACATGGTAGCATAATCCCAGCAGGCTAACAATAAATGTTTCCTGGCTAAATAAATAAATGAACTGAAGACTAAGCTAATTGAACAGTTTGCCTTAGCATATCAGAATTAAGGTAAGTTTTTGTGAAGATATTCATTACATACACTCATCTACATTTTTCCATATTAAAATGAGAAACTTATCCAACATAATAGTGAAAACATTAAAAGATGCCCATACTTCGTGAAGTGCAAATGCTTATTATTTTTCTGTATTAGTAATAGTATTGATAATCCATGTAATATTTCACTGAAATCTCAGACATTATATATTTTCTTTCCTATGCCTGACACACAGCAAATGGTCAATAAATATTTGTCCAAAGGAAAAGAAAGACAGAAGAAATTACAAGAATATTAAAAATCCTATTTCAGGAAACGAGAACAATGTAATAAATTACCCCTATTACTTTCCTTATTCTAATTCTCAACATGCTTTCTTATTTAATATCTTTCTTCATGGATCTCAGTTATAAGATCCATGAAGGTACTAACTTTATCTTGTTTCATCCCTGTATGTAAAACAGCACACAGAAAGATCTCAAATATTTGTGGGTGAGTAATAAAGTTACTCCTACTCTATCAAAGAAAATGTTAATATAATCTATCTGAAATGGACTTTGTATAATCACCTCTGAACTCTTCAGAAACATAAAAAGTATTAAAGCATAATTAATTTGATCTTGAGTATAGCATTCTTGAAACTTCACCAAAAGACTGCATCGGTGTATATACAAATACATATGCTTTAAGAACATTCACAATTTCCTATAGTAGCTTTCTACTTTTATTATTAAAAACTATGAAATATCACCCTTCCTGCAAACTTCATTATATGAACTTATCCCCATTGGAAAGGTCTCTAAGAATCTCCCAAAATCCATAAACTGCTTTGGGATTTTGCAGACAAAGCAGCACATTGTTGAACAAAAACAGTTCTAAAAATATGCAATTAATACAAATGACTAGCAGAAAGGGCTTTTTGTTTTTGTTGTTTTGTTTAATTTACAGAGCATTCACTTTTGAGCAAACTTTGCTTACTTTTGAAATATGCAAATTTGGTCTTCTAAGAATGGTAGAACATTAGGAAAGAGTTAAAAATTACATTGCCTTGGGGCGCCTGAGTGGCTCAGTGTGTTAAAGCCTCTGCCTTCAGCTCAGATCATGATCCCAGAGTCCCAGGATCAAGCCCTGCATTAGGCTCTCTGCTCAGCAGGGAGCCTGCTTCCCCCTCTCTCTGTCTCTGCCTGCCTCTGTCTGCTTGTGATCTCTCTCTCTGTGTCAAATAAATACATAAATAAAGGTTTAAAAAAATTACATTGGCTATAACTAAAACCTTCCTATGCTTTATGTATTGTTTTTTAGACTTAGTAAGTTGTAAGATATTTAAGATATTGGAATAATAAACTTCTTCTGCATGTTCTTTAGAAAAATAAAAATGTATTAAAACTTTCTACCTTCCCAATAGAAATGCAGTTTTCTTCTTTAACACCATCCATTGGATCTTCCTTCTCATTCCTTGGTCGGCATTCTTTGTGAACAGTTGGGGTTATATAAGGTTTGGTGACATTAAATAGCTCAGATCGAAAAACATATCTCTGTATGACGATTTTACAATTTCCTCTGGCATCATTATCTGGCTTAGTGGTAGAGTCAAAAGCACTAAATGTAGCAGAGGCTCCCAAAGACATCAAAGAATCCTTTTGAAGAGGATCAAAGTGGACAGATGAAGTGGGTTCATTTTTACTGAAACAAGGCTCATGATGTTGGTGAAGTTGGTAGTTTATGTTGTTAACGAAAGAAAGATGATCTAATAACCATCCTGGAGACAGCTGATGCACCACTGACATTCTCTTCTCTTAAAAAAGAAAGGAAAAAAAAAAAACAACTCTGGAAATATGAGGGTCTAGATGTAAAACCCAATTTTCCAGATTAACTTCTTAAATGTCCTGCATTTCAATAAAAATATACTTCACATACACAGGTAATTTCATGCGCATGTACATAAACTTAACATATACACAAAAGAGAATTTGAGATTCATGATATGTTAAGGAAAAATGCAATGTTTTAATATAAACTTTTAATTACAGGGTTGATAATTCAAACTTTTCAGCCAATTTAGCAAAAGAGCATTAAAACATGATCTTATTTCTGGGATCCCAACTGAATCCTCCTGGGCCCTCCATACAACCTACTGTTCGTCCTTGAATCCAGCCACTAGGTCCACATACTCCAAGTCACGAAGTCACTCAATTCTTAAAGATGAGAGTGTTCTGTCAAAGCAAAGAATACTACATTACCTATGTGAATTCACCCTTTTTACTGAGATAAACCTAGAGAGGTCACATAATTTCCAGAGGAGTTGTTAGCAGATCAGTCCTTGTTTTTTCAAAGCACATATGCCATAACAAGTCAGCCCATCAACACTGCCACACTTAACCACTGCTACCATAGGAGTGCGAAAAACAAAATGAAAGACTGGTCTAGGCAGAGCACAATGCAATTTTAACAGATACCAGAAGTACCAAACCCTAACAAAATTGCAAGGTTATTGGTTCTGAGCAGTCCTCCTTCAGCATCTATGTTTTTTCAAAACCTCCTTTTTACCAAAAAAAGAAAAAAAAAGGGTAAAGTTCTGGGTATTGCCTACTAAATGTAGTATAATGAAGAACTTAAGAGGAGGACAGAATAAGTGTTTTAACACTACAGCTAGTAAGAGAGCATTTAGATCCAAACTTCTAACTCCATGTAGTGTCAGCAGTGTGACCATGGACAAGTTATTTAATCTCACCGAGTTTCAAATTCATCCATTTTTTATGATATCTCAGAAGGCAATTTAGAGAACTAAATGAGATAATCTAAGTGCTGCCCAGTGCCTGACACACAGCAACAGCTCAAACAAATGCTATTAGTGATGGTAATCCTGGTATTGGTCCTCCCTTCAGAGTCACCACTTGCGGTAATGTAATGGCTAGTGAGAGGAAGAAATTTAGTCAAGAAGACTGAAACTCAGAAAAGATGACATGCCCAATATTACAATTAGTTAACCGCAAATCTCCAAGAATCAGTATGCGGACTCTGGCTCAAAGCTTTTCTCCCACCGCCACCACTCTCCGGGTATTGGGCAGTACATGTCTCTGAGTTTAAACTCAGGGAAGCAGGGAAGTTCTATTTTAGCAAAGTACACTACGGTGCTTAAATCCTTTCTCTTCTACCTCTCCCCTTCACACCCAAACCCACCTTCTACCCCGTTGGGTTCCTCATAGCTTTACTCTCTGACCACCGCTAGAGGACCGTGAAACCCTCGCGAGCAAACTGTGAACCCGATCCTTAGCGGCCGCGGGACCACACCCGCTAGATCCTCGAAGCCGGTGACACCCACCCTCAGCAGTCACTATCTCCTACCTCACCGCATCCCCTGTCAGAAAAACTGCACGACGTCTCCCAGACTTGCATCATGAAAGAAGCAACCCTTTAAAGAGTGGTCATGAAAGACGCCACTTTCATAGCAAAGGAAAGAAATTTTTCTAGGAGCCAACGGGCGCTGCCATGTTGCTGTACGGAAAAAGCGTTTCCAGGACGATTTGGAGCTCTCCATCCGCTCCTCAGAGACCTAGAGCGCCCTGGTCTTCAGCGCTAACTTTAGAAATCGGACCAGACTTTGTAGGGGACGCTTGCACTTACCAGAGACGCCAGTGTGCCGACCGAGGGGGCAGGCGGCCCGCAATACGCACAACTCCCGCGACGGGCAGCGGCGCGGAAGAGTCGTGCACGCGTTCGACGTACGTGTTGACGTAGACGCCAGCGGAGATTTTAAAATTCGAACTGCGACGGCGGGTGGAGGGAGGAGTTGGGTGTTTCGGCGGCTTTTGGCCTGCCCGGTGAATAGTTGGACAGGTTACAGGAATTCGGTCCCTGGGTTGTGTCACGAAACTGGAAGAAAGGTAATTAATGACTTTGAGTTAATTTTGTGCCGCCAGAACTGTTCTAAGGGAGAAAGCGATGGAGCTAACAGCTTAGATTTAGAGGCCCTGAGGAGCACCGTTTTGGTGTCTGCCATTGTGAGAAGCCTCCGGGCCGAGTCTGTACGGGGAGCAAGTTTCCCGGAGTCCAATAAATTTCAACTGACAGTGACTTCCAGGGGAGAAGAGGGAGACCTAAGGGCACTCTGGTGGGGAGCAGAGACTCTGGAGGGAGGGAAGGGGAAGAACTGATGGGAGCAGGGAGAGGAGGGACTAGACGAAGAACTGTTTGAGGTGTTGCGTTTGAGATACTGGTGTAACGTCCTAGTGGGTGTGTAGGGAAGTCTTAATCTTAAATTACATTTTAAGTGAAGATTTGGAATGTACATGTAGGTGAGTGGGAAATTTGAATGCATAGCAGAAATGTATAAAGATGTGAAAGAAATCGGTGGCAGAACAAGATGGAAAGAGTGTACTCAGTTTAAAAAACAAAGGAGAGCCTAGAGAAGTGACAGGATAACCGCAAATGTCCACAGCGCTGGAAATCAAGACAGGACCTGAGAAATCTAGGTGTATAGTGTCTGATGCCACAGAGATGAGGTAGGATCAAAAGATTTGCAATCATGAGTATTCTAGGAGACAACTGCTTCAGTAGAGATGAAGGAAATGTTAATTTTCTGAGAAATAAGAAGCAGCCTGTAGACCATTTTGTGGACCAGATAATTGATCCTTGTTGGAAGGGAGATTGAAGTAAGAGGGGCACTAATTAAATATAAATGGGAAACAGTGGGTTAAAGACAGAGCAAGAGAGATGGAGATTAGGAAAAGAAAACAGAACTGCTGTATTCTCTAAGACCAAAGTAAAGGAAACATTTTTTTTTTAATTTGACAGAGATCACAAGTAGGCAGAGAGGGAGGCAGTGAGAGAGAGAGAGAGGAAGCAGGCTCCCCGCTGAGCAGAGAACCCGATTCAGGGCTCGATCCCAGGACACTGGGATCATGACCTGAGCCGAAAGCAGAGGCTTTAACCCACTGAGCCACCCAGGCGCCCCGAGGAAACATCTTGAGGTAGTTCTTGTCAGGTAGCCTCTGACTTTCCCAATGAAAAGGCGCAGCCAACAGCAGTAAGGTGATCTGGATTAGGCTTCAAGGCTTTAATTACCATAGATGTGTCAAGGCAGGAATTAAACCTTATTTATCATTGTGTCATTTCAGTTGTCTTGCACACTCGGGTGTACATGGTAGGCAGTTAGTAAATATTCGTGTGTGTTGAATATTTTTAAAAGAAGTGAAATACACATTCCCTGCAAATGAGGACTTCGTGTTATATGAACAAGAGGGCCCAGGGAAAGATTATCCTGAAGAAACAATGCTTGGTTGCTTTCTGTTTGGGGATGAAGATAACAGCTGGTGCTTAATGAAGCATCTGTGTCTGGAAAGATTTTTTAATACTGAATTCATTCATGAATGCAGGTGGTAGGCATGAAGCGCAGTTCAGTTTCCACTGGTGGTGCTGGCCGACTCTCCATGCAGGAGTTAAGATCTCAGGATCTCAATAAACAAGGCCTCCATACCCCTCAAACGTAAGTCCTCGTGCCTGCCTTTGACAAAAAAATCTGTGAAGATGATTAATATAAAAGTGTACTATGATGTTCTGATGAATCTTGTTTGTTCACATTGGTACCTAATTTGGGTTAATGAAGGCTAAAAATTGGCATATTATTAAGTGTGTTTTATCTCATTTGTTCCTTAAAATTCCAAAGCTACAACCTTTGCCCAGCAACTCCTAAAAAGGACTGTTAATTCCCTTTCAGCATTTTTTCTTATTTTCCTCCTTTATTCTAGACCTGCTTAATTCAAGCTTATTGCTAGAACTTTGAATTTATTGAAGTATATCCAACTAGCAAAATTACCAGAGTTATTACTTATTTGCTTGATGATAAGCTGCGGTTTAGAAGAGCCTACAGAACCACTTCTCCAAACTGTTTTCTCAGTATTCACTGGAAAGTGGTATATAATTATACTATCATAAACAAGTTTTTCTCTTTAAGTTTGTTCTAATTAAAAGGCTGTTTGTAAGCCACTGAGGGCTTTATCAACCCTGTGATACCAAGGTCCAAGTTACTTGCTAACTGTACTTAAATTACTTAGGTTTACATTGTATAAGCCTCAGCTACTTTTAGAAATTTGAATTATTTGTATCTTTAACTTCTGAAATCAGAATTCTTTTGTATTATTACACATTATGTACACTAAAAGATTTATGCCTGGAATTATATTGAAAACTAAACAGCTGTCACTGGTAATGTTTTGGGTTTGTTATTTACATAATGTATGTTCTTAGGTGTATTTGCATTCTGATACAATAGGCCTTAAAAGAAAAATGTTAAATGTAGCTATCATCCTATGATTGAAGATACCCATTTTTAAATTCTTTTCCTTTGAGGTTATCCATAAATGTACATACGTTAAAATGACTGAAATGAGAATGTAGATAATGGTTTTTTCTACTTTCTTCTTAACATTTTAGCATTAGTACTTGTGCATGTTATTAGCCTATACCATTTTTAACAGCTATGATTGCTACTAAAAATTTTCATGATTCTGGGCCCCTGGTTGGCTCAGTCATTAAGTGTCTGCCTTCATCTCAGGTCATGATCCCAGGATCGAGCCCACATTGGGCTCCTTGCTCCGTGGGAAGCCTGCTTCTGCTACTCCCCCTGTTTGTGTTCTCTCTTTTGTTGTGTCTCTCTGTCAAATAAATAAAATCTTAAAAAATATTTTTTTTTCATTATTCTGAATTATTTTTATAGGTAACGGAAAAGAGGTGCTAGTTCCAACATATTTCCAAAAATTTCTTAAACTAATTTTTTTATATTTATTTTTTAAAGTTTGTCTTTTTCATTTTGTTAAAGCAAAGAGAAACCAACCTTTGGAAAGTTGAATATAAACAAACCCACATCTGAAAGAAAAGTCTCTGTGTTTGGTAAAAGGTAATGATATTTTTTATTATTTTTAATGAAGGGATTTTAAAAAAATTGGATGGCATGATCTCTTACAAAAGAAAGTTATAAGCTAGCTTTCTTCCGTTTTAAATGATGAAATGTTTATATCTGTTTTAGATAGTGCTAAGAGATCTATCAGCACATTCAGACCACTATTTCATGTTATAAGTGAATAGATTAAAAATTCTATACCTAGCTTTCAGATAGTATGGAATCATAGCATTTTTAAATTGGGGGGAACCATCATCTAGTTCAACATTTTAGGCCCAGGCTTTTTTATACTCTTAAATATTAAGATTCCAAAGAGCTTTTTATTTTATGGGCTGTATTCACGGATATTAATCATATTAGATATTAAAACTGAAAAGGTTTTAATTATGCATTCATTGAATGTAAAATAATAATAACCCCTTACATGTTAACAAAAATATCATAAGTATATATTTTTTTCCAAATACAAAACTATTTCAGTAAGAAAAGTGATGTTGTTTTACATCTTTGCAAATCTCTTTAATGTCTGGCTAAATAGAAGATCGCTAGCTTCTCATATCAGCTTCCACATTGTTAAAATATCATTCATCATATAGCCAACCTCTGAAAAACTCCAGAGTACACTCATGAGAAAATGAGAATGAAAGGGGCAAGTACCATCTTAGTTTTTCAGTATGAAAATAGCTTTGACTTCTCAGATCTCCGAGATCACACTTTGAGAACCACTGTTTAGTGTAGATCAGTGGTTGCCTATGCTGAGGGTAGGGCAAGTCTTGATTGTTAAGGAGTAAAAAAACTTTTGCAATGATGAAAATGTTCAATATTTTCATATCTTCATTGTGGCAGGATTACATGTGTGTATACGTTGTCAAACCTCATCATACTGGACGCTTTAAACAGATACATTTTACTCTAAGCAAATTACAACTCAATAAAATTGATCTATTTTTTAAGAAATGATAAACCCCAAAACTGAAAAAATAATCTGTTCTTTTATCTCACCAAAACCAAATATAACAGTTTTAAGGCAAACCTGTTCAGTTGTTTTGAAAATATTCAGAGATGAAATGTTTGTTACATTACAAAAGTCTTTGCCTTGAAACCAAATTAAGCTCTTTCTGGTATTCATTCCAGCTGATGAAGAATCTTAAGACATTTTTGTATTGTAACTTTTCCCTCAGTGGTGAACCTCAGAGATAATGGTAATTATTATAAAATCTAACATTTTCTGAGCCAGACATTGTTTTAAGTATTTTGTCTGTACTTACTCTTTTAATCAATCCTCAGAACTGCCCTGTGAATAGATACTGTTATTGTATCCATTTTATAGAAAGGGAAATTGAAGCACAGAGAGATTAAGTAATTTATTTAGGATCATACAACTAGAAACCAGAGGAAGAATTTGAAACCACAAACTCTGATTCTAGGCCTTGTGCTCTTAAGCTATAAATTAAATGTTACAGTATTTTGATTGGCTAGGGTATTCTCTTTTAACTTAAAAAGATGTCTAATAGTGCAGTTTTGTGTAGAGTAACAGCTGAGTCTATACATGTACTCCTTTTGGTAAAAAGAAAAAAAATAAGTAATAACAGTATGTAGAAAAGTGGTTCTCAAATTAGCAAATTTTCAGGGGAAAAAATAGCTAATCTGGGCTGTGGAATGAGAGGGCCCAAGCTAAAGAACTTTTAGAGCTTTGGCAGGAGAAAAGTTGAAAGCAGTAAGCAAACCTGCAGGGAGAAATAAGATCTCTGATGACCAGAGTTCAAATATTACACCAATGTTCATTGCATCTCAGTTTTGTGGCATATGTTCAATAAAGAAAATTATTATTCTAAGGGTGTTTAATAAGCTACAGTTAGCGAAATCAGGCTACAAAGTTATGCAAAAGGAACCATTATAAAAATATAAAATTTTGTTTTGTGGGGGAGGCTTAGAATGGAACATATATGTTGCATCCATTAATGACTAAAAAGTTGCACCATGTAAATTTATGGTAAATAACAATCAGATACATAGTATTGCATGACACAAAAATATTCAAGAGAAAACTCATACACCACCTATTTTAACATCTCAAAAGCAATTTTCCCACAAGAAATGATGGCAAATGAAGGGGTTAAGAGTGAAGGAGCAATCATGAAAGGCTAAAAAGGATGGCGAAAGGACTGGGATTACTGAATAAACTTGGAGAATGGTTTTACAGAAGATCTAGTGGACTCAAAATGCACATTCTTAGGTGATGGTGTTAGGAATGCAAAGCACCACAGTGCATTTTTCTTCCCATCTCATTTTATACTTATCATGATTTGCCCTTTTTTTCTGCTTTGAATGAAAGAATTGAACTTTGATGTTGTTGCTGCTAGGAAAATGCAAGATCACCTTTAAATAATTTAGACTTGACCACTGCCAGAAATACTTTTGATTGTATTTTGGCTGTTTATGTTCCCAGAACTAGTGGACATGGATCCCGGAATAGTCAATTTGGTATATTTTCCAGTTCTGAAAAAATCAAGGACCCACGACCACTTAATGACAAAGCATTCATTCAGCAGTGTATTCGACAACTCTGTGAGGTATTTTATATTCTCTTAAGTATTTCCCAGTAATTTTTCTATTATAAAGTGTTTGATGTTTCATAAAAATTTTTGTAGTTTCTTACAGAAAATGGTTATGCGTATAGCGTATCCATGAAATCTCTACAAGCTCCTTCTGTTAAAGACTTCCTAAAGATCTTCACTTTTCTTTATGGCTTCTTGTGCCCTTCGTATGAACTTCCTGACACAAAGTTTGAAGAAGAGGTTCCAAGAATCTTTAAAGATCTTGGGTTTGTATGTTATATTTATTAGCCTAGAGAGATTGTTGAAACACAAAGAAGAATCAGACTCAATTGATTTGTAAAGATTCTGAGTTAGAAAAATCATATATTTTAAGATCACTGTGAGCAGTATATCTTAGGATAAATTTAAAAGGCAAGAAAAACCACTGTTTGAAGGTTATTGCAGAACTGTAGAAGATAGTTCATAAGGCCTTCAAAATACTGAGATGACGAGGAATAAATAGGATGGGCTGGATAACACAGATTTTATAGAAGCAAAAAAGACAGGATAGGAGGCCTGGAGAAAATGGGGTGGGTAAAGTCAAGAATGGCTGTGTAGAGTAAACACGGGAAGGAATGGATTTGAAGATTAAGAGTATACACATGTAGCTTATTTGGAGTACATTGAATTTTTTTTTTTTTTTAAAGATTTTATTTATTTATTTGACAGACAGAGATCACAAGTAGGCAGAGAGGCAGGCAGAGAGAGGAGGAAGTAGGCTCCCCGCTGAGCAGAGAGCCCGATGTGGGGCTCGATCCCAGGACCCTGGGATCATGACCTGAGCCGAAGGCAGAGGCTTTAACTCACTGAGCCACCCAGGCGCCCCTGGAGTACATTAAATTTGAGAGAACAAAAAATCTTTTAGGAGAGAAGTCCAGCATACTGGTTATAAATCAAGTTCTACAGTGTTAGGTATACATGCATGAAATAATCTGCAGAGAAGAAACCAATGAGATTCTGAAATCTCATTTCAGAATCTCATTTCAGAATAAGATGACCAAGGATGAAACCTTAATAAATATCTTCTAAATAAGTCAAGACTGTGGGTATAATGTGGAATTTTTCTAATGTAACTTCTTGCCAAATTTAGCCTTATTTTCACAAAATTAACATTGTTGGTCTCTATTTTTTTTTTCTAATTTTTTTCTAATTTTTCATAGGTATCCTTTTGCATTATCCAAAAGCTCCATGTATACAGTGGGTGCCCCTCATACATGGCCACACATTGTGGCAGCCTTGGTTTGGCTGATAGACTGCATCAAGGTATTTGGTTTTTCATTTTAAAATGTATATGTAGGAAAGATTTTTTTTTTTCCTTATGATAGTGTTATTTCTCTATGTCTTTTGCCAGTTATCTCAAAGTTTGCAACTATTTTCATTTTCCAAAGCACATTTGCTTTTAAGTTCTTCAGACTCTTAATAAATGCTTCTAGAGGTGAGAGTAAGGAATTACCACACTGGCAAAGAAATTATTTGTTTTCATGAGGTTTTAAAGCTTAAAAAAAAAAAAAGTAGGAAATTATTTCCCCCATTATATACATAACATTACTTTGGTTTTTTTCCCCCTTTATTAATTAAAATTCATATTCATTGCAAAAAATTTTGGAAAATACAGAAATACACAGAAAGTGATATACCCATAATCCCACAACTCAGAGACAACAATTTAAAACATTTCCTTGGGCTATAGTTTTAAAGATGCATTTTTGCTATGCAAAGTATGTGGGTTTTTTTCTTTCAACTTTTGATGTATATTGACAAATTTCTCTGCAGAAAACTTGCACCAGTTAAAAACTCCTCAACAATGTGAGCATATGCCTTTTCCCAAGGCATCCACATCATTCTTTTAAAATCTTTACCATTTGAAAGGTGAAAAAAATAGCTTAATATATATATGTTATAAAAGCAATTGTCTTTTTGTATGGTTTGTCATTGCTATTTCTTGTGGACTTTTTTGCCGTATTTTATGTATATTTTTTTTTGCTTCTGTTAATTTTAACCTTTATAAAACTGCTTATATTTATCAATATTTTAAACGAATGAGTGAAAACATAATTTTTTTCATATTTGCAATTTTTCTTCTCAACTTGAACATATTTCACACTTATTACAACTGCCTATTTGTGTCTTTTGCCATTTTTCTATTTTCCTGTTGATTTATAGGAACACCATTTTGAACATCAAAAACAGTCAGATAGGAGTAATTAGCTCATTTGGATATGGTACAGATATTTTTTCCCTTTTGATTTATGTGCTGTATTTTCACTATTGAGAAATACAAATTGTTATCTAGTCTAGTTCAGTCTCTTCCTTTTATAGTTTTTTTTTCTTCCTTTTATAGTTTCTGAGTTTCCTGTCCTTAGTGCTAAAATCCCTAAAACTAACACTGTCCTCCTGACATTCTCTTGGCAATTGAAATCCCTTGACAAAATACAGGCAGGCACTGGGTGGTTGGATTTTGACCCAGAAGACATCTCAGTACTTTGCGCACCACCGTTGTCAAGATAAGAGTAGAAATCCAATGACATAGTCCATTAATACAACTCACATTTTATTGAACTTTATGTATAATGTCTGTGCATTCAATCTGTTTCTCCCCAGTGATATCCATGGACATTGGATAACTACCTCTCTTTTCCCACTACCAAATACTCCTCTTGTCAATGGAACGCTTTACCCTTGTTTCACCAAGCAGCTTATGTTATTCATAAGTGGTTAGGAGATAGCATTTCCACAGTGATGCAAGACCTCATGGAGTACCTGCTTTGGCTTCTGTTGGAGAGGGACCTCTGGAGATGCCTCCAAATTTATTATATAGGTAGAAATTTCCTCCTCACTATATTGGTTTGCTTGAGGTGGTAGAACTGAACACTAGAAGAATCAATGAGAGATTGTAAGAATCAGTGAGACATCATATGTTTCTTGTTCTAATTATCTTTCCCACTTAACAGAGTCCTAGAAATTTATCCAGACTTAGGATGGCCTCCTTTAGTCTCTGACGTTAAAAAAAAAATTTCTTCCACTTTTTTCCCTCCCATTTTTATAACTTCATTGTATTTAAATAATCTTTATTGTTTCCTTCCTTCTGCTAACTTTGGACTTATTTTGGTTTTCTCTTTCTAGTTGCTTGAGGTATAGAGCTAGGTTTCTTTATCTGGGATCTGTTTCCTTGATGTATGCATTTGTAGCTATAAACTTCCCTCTTTAAACTGGTTTAGCTACAGCTTGGTATGGTGTGATTCCATTTTGATTTGTCTCAAGATACTTTTTCATTTCCCCTTTAATTTCTGGTTTGCTACATTGGTTGTTCAGGAGAGTGATATTTAATTTTCATGTTCCTGTGACTTTTTCAGTTTTCCTCCTATTGTTGATTTCTAGTTTCATACCATTTTGGTTAGAGAAGATACTTGGTATGATTTCTTCTTGAATTATACGAAGACTTGAATTATACTAAGACTTGTTTTATGACTTGATATATGGTCTCTCCTAGAAAATTTTCCTTGTACTCATGAGAAGAATGTATATTTTGCTGTTGTTAGATATGTTCTGTGTATGTTTATTGAGTCCATTTGGTCTATAGTGTTGTTCAAATTGCAATTTATTTATTCTCTGTCTGGATGATCTCCCCATTGTTAAGAGTGTAGTATTAAAGTCTTCCAACTATTATTGTATTGCTGTTATTTCTTTTAGTTCTATTAGTATTTGCTTTATATATTTAGGTGCTCCCATGTTGGTTGCATAAATATTTTTTCTTCTGATGGATTGACTCTTTTATCATTATGTAATGACCTTTGTTGTCTCGTTCTACCATTTTTAGTTTAAAGTCTGTTTTGTCTGATACATCTTTTTCATCCCTTCACTCTCAGTCTGTGTCTCTAAAATTAAAGTGAGCTTCTTGTAGGCAGCCTATTTTTGGATCTTATTTTTGTCCATTCAGTCATTCTGTGTCTTTTGGTTGGAAAGCTTAATCCATTTACACTTAAAGTAATTATCCATAGGTAAGGATTTATTGCCATTTTGTTCATAGTTTTCTGTTTTGTAGATCTTTTGTTCTGCTAGGTCCTTATCCTACTATCTTCTTTTGAAATGTGATGATTTTTGGTATCATCAGCATACTTTGACTATCATTTGTTTGTGTATCTACTTCATGTTTTTCCCTTGTGATTATCATAAGGCTTAGATAAAATATCTTTAAAACTATAACATTCAGAGCACCTGGATAGTTCAGTTAGTTAGGTGTCCAACTCTTGATGTCAGGTCTTGACCTCAGGTCATGAGTTCAAGCCCCACACTGGGCTCCACGCTGGATGTAGAACCTAATTTAAAAAAAAAAAATAGCTATGACATTCTATTTTAAACTGATAGCTTCAATAACATTGAAGCTCTACACTTCCACTTCCCGTTTTACATTTTAGGTTATTGATGTTACAGTTTACATACCTTTTTATATTGTGTTTCCAATAACAGGTTATTGCAGTTATGGTTCTTTTTAATACTTTTATTTTTTAACTATTAAACTAGAATCATAAGTGAATTACACACCACCACATTAGAAAAGAAGACTTTGTATGTTTATCATTATCAATGAGTTTTACACTACCTTCATATGTTTTTACAGTGTTAAGTAGCATCTTTTTGCTTCTACTCAAAGAACTCCCTGTAACCTTCCTTGTAAGGCAGGTCTTGTGGTGGTGAACTCCCTCAGCTTTTATGTTGGAAAGTCTATATCTCTCCTTCATTTCTGAAGGGCAGTTTTTCCAGATACAGTATTTTAGTTTGACAGTTTTTTCCCTTTCAATATTTTGAATATGCCATCCCTTTCTCTCTTGCCCTAAAAAGTTTCTATTGAGAATTCCACCAATAGTCTTATGGAGGTTTTCTTGTATGTAACTTCTCTCTTTTCTCTTTCTGCTTTCAAAATTCTTTGTCTTGATTTTTGACAATTTAATTATAATAGTCTCAACATAGCCCTGTTTGGGGTCCTGTGTGCTTCATGGATCTGTTTGTCCATTTTTCTTTCTACATTTGGGAAGTTTTCATCTCTTATTGCTTTAAGTCTCTTATTGCTTTATACTTTATTTTTATACTTTATACTTTCATCTCTTATTGTTTAAAGTCTTTGTTGCTTTATACTTTCAGTGCCCTTCTCTTTCTCTTCTCCTTTTGAGATTCCCATAATGCAGATATTATATCATTTGATGATCCATAAGTCCCATACACTTTTTTCTCTTTTTCATTCTTTTTTCTTTCTGTTTATGTGAGTGGATAATTTCAAATCCTGTCCTCTAGTCCACTGATTCCTTCTTTTGCATGGTTGACTTTGCTTTTGAAGCTCTCTGTTTAATTCTTTAGATCAGCCTTTTTTTTTTTCAGCTCTCATTTGATTTTTTTTTAATAGTGTCTGTTTGTTCATTGAATTTCTTGTTTTGTTCATACATTGTTTTTCTAATTTTGTTTAGTTGGCTGTGTGTTCTTATACCTTAGTAAATATTTTTGAGAGGATTATTCTGAATTAGTTCATAGATCTCCATTTCTGTAGGGTCAGTTATTGGAGCTTTATTAGTTTTCCTTTGGTAATGTCATGTATACCTTATTTTTCATGATCCTTGATTCCTTATGATGGTACCTGCACATTTGAGTAAGCAGTCTCTTCTTCCACATTTGACAGGTTCTCTTTTAGAGACAGTTCTTTACCAGTCAGCTCAGATTGGGTTTTTAGATGTATCTAGATGTATAATGTACTTGGTTAGGTGGGGCTTATATCAGGGTCTATTTTGGGGCAAGGTCACTGCCCAAGCTGTGAAGTTAGGGGAGAAGGGGAAGTGCTACTCTACAGTAGGAAAAGACTGGTGGCTTGGTTCTCTGCCATATTCCCAGGTGCTCTGGTTAGGTTTTCTGGTCAGGTGGCGCTGGAGACTGTATTCAGCTTTGGATAGCACCATAAATTATCTTCCTTTTCCTACTGGGGTTTCAGATCAAGCCTCAGCCAGCAAAGCTTTTTGGGAATCAAATCAGAGAGAATTGCATGCTTAGCTCCCCGAATAACAGGGCTGTTGTCTTGGGTCTGCAGAAACAGAGCCACTGAGCAGGTTCTCCATTCAATTGCTGTAACTGGGGCTAGAGGGGAGGCTATTGAGATTCCCATGAGCTCTGGTTAAGTTTTTCTGGTTAACAGGGTTGGAGGTTGTATTTAGCAATGGACAGGGCTATGGATCAGATTCCCTAACAGAGTGGAGGAAGAGAACAGACCCAAGGCTGGCAAGATTCTTCTTGGGAAGCTAATGAGGCAAACCTGTGCTCTAGACTCTGGCCAGACGGGGTTGCTGACTTTCCTCTGCAGATGATCAAAGCCCCAACCAAGCTCTCTTCACCAGCTCCTGAGCCAGGCAGTTTTCCAGATGCTCCAGCTAGGTTTCCAGCTTGGACAGAGCCAGAAGCTATACTAGCCATGGTTAAGGTTGTGAATTAGTTCTCCTGCCTGAGCAGAGCCGGAGAACAGGCTCTAGTTGCTCTTTGTGGTCTTGACTTAAAGCCACCCATGCCCCAAGTTTACTGTCCAAATGAGGTCCCTAGCCTTGCTCAGTGGATGATCACTTCTAACTTCCAGGCTCTTAACTCAGGTATTTCTGAGCTGAGAAGCATTTCAGGAGTCCAGACAGGCTTTCTGGTCAGGTAGAGCTAAGAGCTACACTGAGCAGTGGGTAGAGCTATGGATTAACTCCCCTACTTGGGCAGAGGGGCAGGCTCAGGCTTTCCGAGTTATTTTCTCCTCTCTCATATTTCACTATATAGAGAAGTGGTATACTGGAAAATAATCACCTTTTACTGAAAAAATATTACTCAAATCCACACTTCTGGTTATCTCTATAGAGTTTCAGGTTGAAACTGTTTCAACCAAATCTCCTCAGTTCGGAAGAACTTTTAATTCTTGTAGTAATGTTTTATATAGCTCCTGGTGAGTTGTTTGTCCCTCTATAAGGGTCTTTTTTTAACTTAATGGAGTATCAAGAATTTTCACATGGACCTTTGACAAAGCAACAGAAACACTTATCTACCCTGATAACAAGGTAGAAGATTCTGTTCTTCATCTTGGGCTCTGCCCTACATGTCTTTCAGATTTAGTTAAATCTCACTGTGGGGTGCCTGGGTGACTCAGATGGTTAAGCATCTGCCTTTGGCTCAGGTCATGATCTCCAGGTCCTGGGATCAAGCCCCATGTTGGGCTCCCAGCTCAGCGGGAGTCTGCTTCTCCCTCTGCCTCTCCCCCTGCTTGTGCTCTCTCTCTTTCTCCATCTCTGTATCTTTCTCAAACGAATAAATAAAATCTTTAAAAATAAATAAATTTTTAAAAATCTGATTATTGAGGCTTGTCAAGGGAAGAAGTCGTAAAAGATGAGTTAATAGAGTTTGCCTGCCTTCACCTTAGATATACAAAATGTCTTATATGAGTGTCTTTGGAATAGGATAGAAGTTGATATGGCAAGCAACTCTGGGCTAAGAACTTAGAAATCTGATATGTAAGTCCTAGGATAAGAAAAATTTATGAAATATTTTTAGTGGAAACCACATTCCTTTTTCATTCCTAATGCATGGTACTTCTCTTAGAACCTTACTGTGCATTATACTAGATACACATTTATAAGTTTACATTTCATAGCAATTTCATTTACATTTTCTAGTGATTTTTTTCATGTTTGGAAGGTTGTATTTTTAAAACAATTTATAAAAATAGGTGTTCCAAAATGGAATTTCTTTGCCTTAAAAACCCTTAGCCATTTTCCTTTTGGCTTACTATTATAAACATCTGTTTTGCTATAATGTATTATCTCTTATCACTTTTAAGCTTTAACAGTTGCATTTCTGAATATTTCATATTGTGATCAATCTGAAGTTCATATTTATACATACTGAAGGAGTCTGTAGATAACATTTAAGCACCAAATTTGAGTTCATATAAAAGAAGAATAATCCTTTTTGGTTCGCCTTTAACGTGGCAGCCTTTTTTTTAGATTCTCAGAGTGGCATCAAAACGTGTATATATGCTCTCAATGAATTAATAGTAGTATAAACATCAGCATATTTTATAGAAGTAAATATGGAATCCATTCCTTTTCTAATTCTAATGGATTAAGTTACTAAAATAGCAAAAGGATTACATTTTAATGCTCAATAATATGATCTCTCTAGAGACTTTCAGCCCTGCAATAATGTAAATGCTTCTAAAAGTGACACTAAAACAAATGTTACAAAACATGAAAGCTATGTGTTTTTCTCACATTTCATCAACTTAAATATGTTGCTTGTGTACTTACTAGTTACATAATGCCATGAAAGAAAGCTCACCTTTATTTGATGACGGACAGCCTTGGGGAGAAGAAACTGAAGATGGAATTATGCATAATAAGGTACCTTACATTAACACAAACCTTAGTTATCTTGGTATTTTAACTGTGTCACTATTGAAATTAATGCAGTCAGGCACCTAGGTGGCTGAGTCAGTTGTCTACCTTTGGTTCAGTCAGTTGTCTGCCTTTGGCTCCGGTCGTGATCCCAGGGTCCTGGGGTGGAGCCCCACCTCAGGCTTCCTGCTCAGTGGGGGCTCTGCTTCTCTCTCTGTTCCTCCCCCCCGCTCATGCTCTCTTACTCTATCTCTCCCAAAAATAAATAAAAATCTTTTTAAAAAAATTAATACAGTCTTTTGTAGAGTTTGTCTTTTTGCTTCCGGAAAAACTTTTAAAATTGAATTTTTTTCATCTTAAATTTATTCTTGGAATCACATTGTAATTTCTTAAAATTAAGTAGGCATAGAAATTTTAAATGTTAACTAAGTGAGGCACCTGGGTGGTGCAGTTGGTTAAGTGTCCAGCTCAGGTCATGATCTCAGGGTCATGGGATCGAGTCCCGCAGCTGGCTCCATGCCCAGCTTGGATTCTGCTTGAGACTTTCTCCCTCCTCCTCTGCTCCTCCTCCCACATGAGAGGCCACATGCTTGTGTACTCACTCGCGCACTCTCTCTGTCTCTCTAAAATAAATAAATCTTTTTTAAAAAATAATTAATTAAATGTTAACTAAGTAAGTAGAAAAGCATGGAAATTGGAATTAAATCGTAACATTTTATTTTCTTATATATAAATGTAACATTTCTTTCCTTGTCTACCTTTTAGAATGAAGATAGCAGTACTGGCAACATAAGTCTAATATAGTTCTTTGTCAATAGAAAACATAAGTCTTTGAGTCTTAAAATACTACATGTAGGGTTTATGTTTTGTTTTGGCCTTTTTAGTTAGGCGTATTACCACTTAGATCCAAGTTACCACTTCCAAAAGGGATTGAGATCAAAGTAAACATGGTCTAAGTTGGCTCCCAATCCATACTTTACTGGAGCCTAAACTATGTAACTAACCTCACCCTATTTCCTAAAATAAGCAAATGTATGTGTCTGAATAAAGCAAATGCTACCTCCAAGGAATAGATTTATAATATTAAGATTAAAATTAATGTGCCCTAGCACATGTAAAAGATCAATCACCATGCAGATCCCTAAAAAGAAAACTTATTTTCTGTGCTAATTCTAATCAACACTCTTTGGAGCATTTGCAATAAAAAGAAACTGGCAAGAAACTTTAGTCTCAATTTTTATTACTACCTGGGAAAAATAGATCAAAGAGGTATGATTACTTCTTTTTTTTTTTTTTTTTTTTTTTTTTTGTAAACATAGTAACCATACCTTTTACTGCTTCAGCAATGACCCCTGCTGGAGAAGCAGTTAGAAAGCCTTGGATCCTACTCCAGAGAATTCTCCTCCCGTGTTGCAATATGTGCCCTGGACTAGATTTATCTGTACCTCGTTTTGAAGCCAAATACAACACTTACTAAATATTAAATTTTTTAACATTTATACTGAAGGTTAAACCATTAAAAGTTATTCTTGCTATTTTAGCTGTTATTTCAAATGACAATATACAAGAGCAGGACTTTAGAAATTTTAAAGCACTGCTCTGTATAAAATATTATTTGAAAATATCTTAAAGAAGGTCATCAAAGTATACAATTTCGCCAGATTCTGAGCCTCACCTTGTGGATCCAGAAACTCAGTTTGTTAGTAGCAGAGCATTTGACTGTAGAAATTTAATTTTTTTTATATCTGCAAAATCAAAATTGACCAACCTTAAAGAAACTGATTCACTGTTACCAAATTCACAAGAAACTGATCTGAAATAGAATGAAAATATATTAATTTATCGTCAGTGGAATACCTTTCTAGTTAGAGGAATACTCATACTGCCTATTTAGGGTACCCTTTCCATATCAACCAAGTAATATGGAGGTTGTTTAATTAGCAAAGAATCAGCACAAAGGGAATTGGTTTGTCTTGAGGGATATTTATTTCATATAGGCTTTGGAAAATTCTAATCAGCCATCCGCACCTCCTAACAAAGCATGCATCTTCAGTGATCAAAACACCTCATAATGGCGAAATATAGTGTTACTTTCTCTTGGATAAATATTAAGATATTAATAAATATCTAATAGTAGGTATCTAATAAATATTAGATACCTACTAACCGTGCCATTCTTTTAGACTGAAGTTAACAATGTAACTATAGCCTTCATTCTGATTTTCACAGCTAGACTTAGTTTAATTGGACTTAACATCATCAATTCATTTAAGTTTTTCATAAGGTTGATTGCACAAAGATGAATGAGCATTTTATGTTGAATTATATTTGTTAATAAGCTTCCTTGTTTGACCTCAAAATTCTGAATGTATGGTTTCTTTACTGTTTACTAAGTATCACCTTTATCCAAATTTAAATTTTCTTTATTATTTTTAGTCACATTACAAGTAGCAGACTGAGTAAATCTGTGCAACATAATTAATGATAGATCCTAGGTTTGTGTCTCATTTATAGGAGTTCTTATAACTAAGTATTCCTGACTTTTCTTTTTTTTAAATTCAAGTTTAAATTTTCACTTAGAAAAATGAGACAGACTAAATAGAGAATAATAGCTTTGTTTTTAAATCTGCTTAACCCAATCAGTTGTTTTTGGACTACACCATAAAATGCTATGAGAGTTTCATGACTGGGGCTGACAGTTTTGAAGAGATGAATGCAGAGTTGCAGTCAAAGCTGAGTAAGTGTTCTCATTCCTAGTGTGCTGCTATTACTCATGTATTAAACTCTTTTTGTGGAGTTGTAGCTCATTTTACCACACCCAGTTTATGTGAACTACTCTAAATGTGTTTGGATGCCTACTAATTTTTGTCTTTATTGTTTCTTTGGTGGAAAGAAGTGATAGTTAACCAGGAAAGAATCCCAGTTTTGGAGGCAAACCTCTTCCTGGCTACGTGACCTTAACAAATTATTTAACCTGTCTAATGAGGTTTTGCAAGATTAGGTGGCCATGTATGTAAAGTATCAGACACACTACCAGGAACACAGAAAATAAACAGCAAAGGTTATTCCTGTGTTATTCCTATGATATTCTTGCTTTATTGTTTGAGAAATTACCAATTAGTGAGAAGTCTTAAGGTCCCTTCAAAATGTATGACAGGCAGTTAATGGGCCATTATATTTCCAATGAAAGAAATTCTTCATTGTATTTCCACCCTGTTATAACCTAGGGACATTCAGTATTTCCCAGCTAACTCTAAAGTGGTCCAGAGGAATTAATTTAATCTTTTTTCCTTTATTAAAATAGTCTTAAATGTAAAATGGTAGAATGGTGGGTAAAACAGATAAATTTAAGATGTGTAAAACTATTTCTTCAATGAAATCAATCAAAACAGGAGAATATCACCTTGCTACTATTGGCACAAAAGGTGAAAGCATTTCCCCTATGTTCCCATTGGACGTATCTTCCTGAAATAACAGGACAGTTTCAGCTTGTCAGCATAAGAAAGGGAGCAAGGTAAATGATGTTTCATTTTAAAAGAGGAAAATTCATAGTGATCTAATATAAAAAGCATCTAGTGAATTCATTTATTGACACAATATTTATTGTATACCTACAGTGGGCAAGTCACCTTAGGCACTGAGGATATAGTAATGAATAAGAGATAGAAAATCCCTGTCCTATGAAGTTACCTCTACTAGAGATAATAATCAAATTAACAACCATAAATCAAAGGGTGGTAACTCCAAGAACAAAAATGAAGCAAGGTAAGAGTGTAGAAAGTGTAGTGAATGGAAAGGTTTGCTATTTTAGAGGGTAGGATATCCTTCACTGGTAGCATTTTGAGCAGAGACCAAAAAGGAAATAAGGGAAAGAGCAATGGTGAAGACCCGGGGGATAAATGTTTCTAGGCAGAATTGAGATCTTACTAAGTTTGGGTTTTCTCTCCAGAGGATTTGTTTAATGTAGATGCTTCCAAGCTGGAATCATTAGCAGCAAAAAACAAAGCACTGAATGAACAGATTGCAAGATTGGAACAAGAAAGAGAAAAAGAACCGGTCAGTAAACATGCTTATTTCATGAATAGGTTTATATACTTAGCTGTTTTGGACTCTTGGATCTCCTTAGAGAACACCAGCTATTTCTTTATCCAAAAAAAAAGCTTCTAAAATGTTAATTTTTTTTTAGATAGGACAGAACTCTCCATGAAAACATGTTTGGTATCTCTAGAGCTTTGTTTTCCCTTGTGATCTATCAGTCTTGAACTAATGGTGTTCGGAATATGATGAAAGAGTCTTACCTATTTACATAAGTCCAAAAAGATCTTTTGAACAGGATCCCCATGTTTTACACCTCTAGGGAGCACAATATAAGAAGCCCTGAGTTATTTAGTTAGTGAAAAGGGAATGGCAATAAGAGTGTTTATATAATGTATTATATTCTAAGAGCTTTCTAAAAGCTAGATGATAATATCCAGATACCTAATTTTATTTGGGGTATTAATATTACTGAATTGCCTAGACTGTTCTGTAAAACATCAGATTTTAAATGTTTCGCTTTTTCATTCTGGCCCTTGACTTTTTGTATCCCAAACTGACTTCCCAAAAAGTACATCTTCTTAATTAGGTAATAACGTAACAGCAAAGTTCCCTTTTAGTTCTTTGGCTCCCTCTAAAAGGGATAGAAAATGCTAATATACCTTTCTCTAAGATGAATTTAAATAATATTGTGTTATTTTCAAGTAAAGGAATGGTTATCAATTAGAATTTTTTTTTTTCTTTTAAAGAATCGTCTGGAGTCATTGAGAAAATTGAAAACTTCCTTACAAGCAGATGTTCAAAAATATCAGGCATACATGAGCAATTTGGAGTCTCATTCAGCCATTCTTGACCAGAAACTGAATGGTATTGATGAAGAAATCTCTAGAGTAGGTAAGCACAACCAATGCTAAAAGAGGACATTCAGACTGGAATGGGGACCTGCCTGGGGTTTATCACATACACAGACAACTTTGTCATCCAAATCATTTTTTCTTTAATGATGAATGGCTATAGCAGGCCACCAAGTTTTCAATGCCTTCTGCATGTATTAGTTTTCTGAGGCTGCTATTGAAAAATACCACAAAATTGGTAGATTAGAACAATAGAAATTTGTTCTAAAGGCCATAAGTCCAAAATTTAGCACGGCCAAGCTCCCTCCAAGGACTCTAGGGGAGAATTCATTCCTTGTCTCTTCCAGCTTCTGTTTCCTGATGGTATTCCTGAGATTTTGGCCATGTCACTCCAATTTCTGCCTTTATCCTCACATTGCCTTATCTCTGTATGTGTGTCTCCTCTTCTTTTTGTGTTTGTTTCTCTCAACCTCTATCTTTTAAGAACATTTATGATGTCATTTAGGACCCACTGGATAATCCAGGGCATAATAATGAGATGAGATAATCTCATCTCAAAATATTTAATAATATCTGCAAAAAACCCTTTTTCAAATAAAGAAATATTTACAAATTTAGGATCTCATATGTTTGGGTAACCATTATTCAACCTAATACAACTTCTAACATGTTCTGTTGTCTGATTTTTTAAAGCCAAGAGGGACCTAATCTAAAAACATATGATACCTGATACAAATACATATTCTCTTCTGCCTTGTAATTAGTAAGCCAGATTCTTAAACCTCTCCTGGCTTCAGTCTGCTACAATTGTCTTATTACTACTACCTCCTAAACCACTTGGCAACTTAAGCTGATTGAAAAAGTAAGATGGAAAGATGAAAGTACTACAATTCTTTGGAAGCAAAAGCCCAATTAAAGAAAGTGTGTTTATATCCTGTGAGTTCCTAACCTTGTTTTTCATAAGCACATATCAGTCATAACTGTAAAATTAAAAATACCATAACACATGGATTGATATTTCTATACTGCCAGAAGGCAAGCAAAGGGAAGTATTCATAAATCACAGAGCCATTGGATGGCACTTTACAAAATGAATAATCCTATGGACCTAATGTACTATTTTTCTAGGTATTTGTCCAATTCAGTTTTATTCTTATAGGATTTTACAGATTGTGTCTGTCTCACATAGGATTTGTGTAGATAGTCCTTAGGATATTTGATTTAATGCTTAGTCTATATAATATTAACCATCTGTCAAGTCAAAGATAATAATTATATGGAGTATTTGTTTAAATCAGCTTATTTTTTCCAAATAATTCTGATTACATATATTAGATTTCCTCTAAACCAAGCCTTTAAATAATTTACATTTGGCCCCGAACATTTGTTCTCCGTGTTGACAAGAAGCCATAAACTAATTTTTTATCACAACAATATTTGTAAGGCAGGGATGCCTGGCTGGCTCATTTAGTTAAGCATCTACCTTCAGCTCAGGTCATGATCCCAGGGTCCTGGAATCGAGTCCCACATCAGCTCCTTGCTCAGCAGGGAACCTGCTTCACCCTCTGCCTGCCGCTTCCCTTGTGTGCTCACTCTCGCTCTCTGACATATAAATAAAATATTTTTGAAAAAATATATTTGTAATGCAGTTAAATCAATACTTTATAATAGTCTGTCTTCCTCATTGGTATTTATCAAGAGAATTTTCATATTCCTACTTTTCTTGTGAGAATTTTTTCCCCATAATTGCAAGCTAAAGAGGTGAGAGAGATACTTTAGCCATCATTTACTATTCCAGATTGATTTAGTTTGAGATAATAATTTTTATAACTTAACCTAAGACGTTTTTATTCTGAGTATTTTAACTTTCATAATTTTTTTTTAAAGATTTTATTTATTTGACAGACGGAGATCACAAGTAGGCAGAGAGGCAGGCAGAGAGAGAGGGGAAAGCAGGCTCCCTGTGGAGCAGAGAGCCCAACATGGGGCTTGATCCCAGGACCCTGAGATCATGACCTGAGCCGAAGGCAGAGGCTTTAACCCATTGAGCCACCCAGGCGCCCCTTTCATGATTATTTAAGGTCACTCATGGCCAAGAATCAAAGAGACCTAATTAAACTGTCTGGATATAAATAGATATAGAGATAGGAAGGAAGAGAGAGAGAAAGATAGATAAATGGATGGATGTACATTGTGGATTTTTTGTACAGATTCCTGTGATAAATATATAATGTTTTACTTCATCTATTTTTATTTTGAACTCAAATGTGGGACTTCACAAGAACAGTGCTACAAATGAGTTATAACGAAGCTAAGATCTTGATCCTGTAAACCCATGGAATGATTGTCTTGGCCCATTTGGTCAGCATATTCTCATCCATCTATTCCAGCCTGCTTAAAAGTACTATCATATTCTTTATAAGCTGTGAATAACAAAAGGTTGGAAAATACCATTCTATATAACCCCAAATATTTTAAGTTTGATAACTTTTCTTGCCCTTTGCATGGTCATTTCCTGTTTGTAAGTATCATTTTGTCTTAGTACAATAATATACTCGTTCTTGATTATAGATTTTGGTAAATAGAAGGGCGCTTGGGTGGTGCAGTCATTTAAGCATATGACTTTTGGTTTCAGCGCCAGTCATGATTTTGGGGTCCTGGGATCAAGATCAAGCCCCACATCATGCTCTGCTTAGTGTGGAGTCTGCTTGAGATTCTCTCTCTCTCCCTTTGCCCCTCCTACCTGTACTCACACTCTCTCAAATAAATAAATATTTTTTAAAAAATTTTGGTAAGTAGAGCAAGAACTTAACCACTATAGTTACTTACTGTTTGATCAAACTACTGAAAATGCCCATGAATAAGAATAAAGTGATGTATTTGAAGATAAATACTTTTATATTTGTGAAGAATTTGTGGGTTTTTTGACTTATTGCTAAGAATCATGCTGGAGTATAAAAAGCATTTGAACTGAACATTGGCAGACTATCCCTCTTAAGTGTAATAATTCTTAATCATTATGTGTGGGGCCGTATTTTTTTCATGTAGCACTTTCTGAAAATCATGCAAGCCAATAGGGAAGTAAGTTTCTAACATAAAATTTTAGTTGTATCATCTTCCAGAAATGTTATTAACAAAGTGAGATCAAATAGAATCATCCCCACAAATAGAAGAGAAAAATATACATGTACATAACTTGGAAATTTAGACATATTAATCAAGTCTATTCAATAATGGCATCAGGGTGCATGACTGACTCAGTCAGTAGAGCATGCCACTCTTGATCTTGGAGTTGTGAGTTTGAGCCCTACGTTGGGTATAGAGACCGAGTTAAAAAAATTTAAATCTGGGGTGCCTGGGTGGCTCAGTGGGTTAAAGCCTCTGCCTTTGGCTCAGGTCATGATCTCAGGGTCCTGGGATTGAGCCCCACATCCAGCTCTCTGCTCAGCAGGGAGCCTGCTTCCTCCTCTCTCTCTGCCTGCCTCTCAGCCTACTTGTGATCTCTGTCTGTCAAACAAATAAATAAATAAAATCTTAAAAAAAAAATTTAAATCTGGCTCAGCAATGTTTGAAAAATAAATAACGGCCTCAATTTCTTTGCAGGAATTGAAAGAACTTAACAAATTTGTTTTCTTTGATGCAGAACTAGAATATGAAACAATTAAACAGGAGAATACTCGCCTGCAGAATATTGTCGATAACCAGAAGTACTCAGTTGCAGACATCGAGAGAATAAATCATGAAAGAAATGAATTGCAACAGACCATTAATAAATTAACCAAGGACCTAGAGGCTGAACAACAGCAGTTATGGAATGAAGAGCTAAAATATGCCAGAGGAAAAGAGGCGGTATGTCATCCCATTTCCAGAGTGGCAACTTAGAGCTGACATTCATAAAGGTTTACACCTATTAAGAAAAACTGAATGGGTAAAATAAATTGGCTAAAGAGTTAAAACTTTAGCATTGACATTTTACTAAAACACACATGTCACTTCCAATAACACCCCAATTTCTCTCCATCAGATTTAAGGTAGTCTGTATTTTTTAGCAGTGGGCCCAGAAATAAGCAAAAATGTCTCTAAGTCCATGAAAATAATATTCATAAATCACATGCCTTTTATTCTAGAAGAGGTTATGAGTCATCCTTCATTTACCTATTCACCATTCAAACATCTGTTTAACATCTGCTGTGTGTCACTTCCCATGCTGAGTTCAGAAGAATAAAGATATAAAGACAGACTCTGCCCTAAAGAAACTTCCAGTCTAGTTGATATGAGACCATGAGATCAGACCTCTAAAAGATGTTTGCACAGGGTATTGAGGAAACATACAGTATTCTTAATGCAGATGTAGTGTTTGTGGTGTGGGAAGTTGTATGAGGTAATTTTTAGAAAGGTTTCCTTGAAGAGGTAACACCTGAACTGATTTGGGAAGTGTAAGAGTTCTCTTGGCAAGGGTAGGGGAGTCAGCAAACAAGTACATGGGAAAGCTCAGAGAGAAAATAGTGTGTTGTACTCTGGCATCAGAATCTTTTCATCTGGCTAGAGCTTAATAGCAAGGGATAGGGGCACACCAAAAGAGAAAACTCAAGAGAAAAAGCATATACCAGACGATAATGATTCTTTTCATATTTGAAAGTTTGGACTTTATCCTGAAAGCTCCAAGAAGCCCTTACGATTTTTAAACATATGACATTTCAGAAAGATCTCATTTTTGGTCATGAGAGAAATGGATTGGAAGGGAGCAAAACAGATAAGGATCTGTGGCAGTAATGCAGTAAGAAGTTATGAGCTAGATTTAGATAGTGCTAGTGGAGATTCAAAGAAGTGAGTGAATTCTGACTTAGGAGGTGCTCTTAGGAGGTAGAGTGAATAAGACCTGATGAAAGAAAAAGGGTGCATTCACCGTGTCTGGCTTGGTGCTCACTCCAAAATAGAAGAGAAGTGGCCAGTCAGGAATAGGGATGGTATGCTGGACCTGTTACGTCCATGGGGCATCCAAGAGAACATATTTAACAGGCTATTTTTCTTTGAGTCTGAACCTCAGCATAAAATATGAGGGTTTGCAATGTAGATTAAGTAAAAATCAGTATGTATTGTGACTGAAACCAAAAGGGTAGATGAATTCACCAAGGGAGGATTCACAGGAGGAAGGGAGCATCAGCATCTTAAAGTGGACAAAGGTTCCTCAAGAGAAACCTACAAATAACTGAGGACTAACCAGAAAGATCACGAGGATAGAAACTGAGAAAGGAAGTCGGGAAGGAATTAGCATTGTCAAATGCAAATATTTATTATTTATAAATACTTATAAATAAATAAGTAAAATCTTTTAAAAAAAAATTTAAAAAAAAAGATTTTATTTATTTATTTGACAGGCAGAGATCACAAGCAGGCAGAGAGGCAGGCAGAGAGAGGTGGAAGCAGGCTCCCTGCTGAGCAGAGAAGGCCAATGCAGGGCTTGATCCCAGAGCCCGGGATCATGACCTGAGCCAAAGGCAGAGGCTTGAACCCACTGAGCCACCCAGGCACCCCTTCATTTCAGTTTTATAGGTAGCACATTATCCTTTTAGCCAACATTGTTGAGAAAGTGTGCATATTGGCCATATGAATTTCTAGATAAAGATTATCCTTATTTTTGTTGGCAATCCCTTAATAAATGTTCTATACTTCTGTTTGCTATACTTCTTGCTAGCTGTGCAGTCTTTACCTTTTTAATGTAGCTCTCAGTAGGTATGAACTTTTTCTTAATGATTTAGCATAATCATGCATGTGACACCAACATATTCTAAAACAGCAATAAGTTAACAGGTTATCTAGGAACCAAATAAAACTTTCCTGTCAAATAATTCCAAAGTGATCTTTTCTGCTATTATACACTATCGCATTCTTAAGAAAAGTTATTTAAGACTCTTTTTTTAAGAAAAGGTAATAAAATGTGTCTTTCAAAGGGCTTTTTTTTTTAATGGAAAAAATAAACTAGAGAGTTTCAAAATTAACCTTTGAAGTGTTCTACCCTAGTATTTTCAGTTATAATGTTTGTTAATTGGTAGGTATAGTACTAAAATATATACCTCACTGAGAAAGATTTAGTCTCTGTTTTGCTCCAAAGGTAATGTGGTTTTTTATCATATTAGTGCCAGCACTTTCCTTAGTACATTATTTCTTAAAAATAATTACCACTGTTATTAAAATGAACAAAGTAGTTCAAAGCATCTCTTTTTGCCCAAAGGGACAATACTGGTTTTTCATCCTGGTCGCTTTATAAAGTACATTATAGGCATGATACAAATAGTTTCTTAGTCAGGTTTTAACTCTTCTATATTTTTAAAAATCTGTAGTTTGCACACCTACATATGTAATTTTTCATCTGGAAAGAACAGTTCAGTATGAGCAGTAAACATTGCCTCTTTTTTTTAATCCCTGTTTCACCATACTTTTGCTTTGCCTTGACTATCTTTACTCCCTCATCCTACCCTCTAGGTAACCTCTGTCCCTGTGGTATTAAGGGGAAACATAGACATTTATAAGAAGTAGGCTGTAGTGGTGATCCCAAAAGTCTTTGAACCTAGAATTTGGTAAACCTGTATTTTAACCCTGGATTTTCCATCATATACCTGTTTGAACTCAGCATGTTATCTCACCTCTCATAGTCTCAGTTACTAATTATTATTAATAAAGTAAGGTGTGGTTAAACTACATCAGTGAATCTGAAATAAGCTCCTTCAACAAACAATATATTTTATTTCTCAAGCACTGTGTGAGAATGGGGAAGTTATGAATCTCTGGACAAGGTGAACTCTTGAGTTTGACTACCTAAAATTAGCTGTATGAATGCTGTTTTTTATTTTGGAGGATCACGCAAAAGAAGAAAATTATGTGGGAAATAGGTAAGCAGTGATCTGATTAGGGCAGAGTAAGCCATACAGAGTAAGAAGAAAACTTCAGGGTACTAGATGAGAGAGAGATTAAAAAATGATAGCAGAATGCAAAAATTTAATATGAACATTTGATCCATCATCTTTTTTTCTGAATTAATTTTTATTCCACATGCCACCTCTGGCTGGTGTAGCTTTTTGGATCTCTATGTTAAGATAACCATTGAACCAACATCTGCTCATCAGGAAAATGTGTGATCGGTTTTCACTCTCTGAGTTGCATGTGGGAAGAATTAATGTGCCACACATTTGCTCTCCCTGCAGTAAGACGTCGTAAAGTGCATGGGCTTATGAAAACTGTTTTCATTCAGATAAATAAACTGCTAGTGAAGAACAGAAGCAACTACCTATAAAACCATTTAGTATAAGGACAAACAGAGCTTACACATTTTAGTAATCCCTAGAGAACTACTATCTTACAAATTAGAGTAGTTGAAATCTTTTCCTGATTCATTAGTAAGAAATCTTAAATGTGGGGCACCTCGTTAACTCATCTGAAGATCTTGCAACTCTTGATCTTGGGGTCATGAGTTTGAGCCCATTTTGGGTGTAGAAATTACTTAAATGAATAAATAAATAACTTTTAAAAATCTTAAGTGTAATATATAAGTAGCCTTGCTTTTGAGAGCTGATAAATTTTTGGAAATTACAAATTAAGTTTCAATGGGTGCTCTTCCCCCATTGCATTCTTTCACTCAAAGTCTTCAGTTTTGTAGATAGGTAACAACAGTGAGAAAATGAAATGGAGGAAGCAGTATGAAAATAAATTGTCTAGACTCTGCAAATTCATTTATTTAATCAAATATCGGGTACCTCCTAAATGCCAAGCACTATTCTGAGTCCTGCGGGGACTGCTTTCATGGAGCTTACAATGAAAGTAAATAAATAAATACATCAGGTATTAGTAAGTGCTATGAATAAAAATAAAGAGGACTGAGAAATATAGAGCAAAAGCCTTTCTGATGATGTAATTTGAACAGAGCCCTCAAGGAAGGGAAGAAGACCGGGAAATATGGAATTGTTATTAAAATATTTTTGTTAAAATGACATTTGTGACTTCTATGATTACATTTCACTTATTTTGGAGAAATGAAATATTTTATTTTGTACATTGATGATACCAAGGTTTGTTTGGTTTCATAATTTCTCTGACAGTTTAAAAAGTAAATTTTAATTAATACCTAAATATGGATTCTCGTTCCAAACTATCCAGTAAGTGAAAGAAGAGTAGTATATTGCTTACTAATTAATTACAATTTTTAAATTACACAGATTTAGTGTGAATAAAATCTTTCATTCTTGCATTTTAAAACTGCCACCTTACTACTCAAATAAACCAAATTACTGAACTATAAAAAATACTGTAATTTTTATGTATAATTGCAGAAATGCCAATTGAAAACCATATGGAAAGGGGCTGTTTGGTTTGCTTTAATGTTTCTTTTTGGGTTCTCTTCCTACAGATTGAAACACAATTATCAGAGTATCACAAGTTGGCCAGAAAATTAAAACTTATCCCTAAAGGTGCTGAAAATTCCAAAGGTTATGACTTTGAAATTAAGTTTAATCCTGAAGCTGGTGCCAACTGCCTTGTCAAATACAGAGCTCAAGTTTACGTAAGTACTATAAGTAGTTCAAAAGATTTTTAAATGATATGACTAATGTCTTGTTCATTTACTTATAAGTAAGAGTTTAAACTTTAGCATCTTCATAAATGAGGACTGAACATAGAAATAAAACACTGAAACTTTTAATCCTCCTTTGTTTTGGTATTTAAAAGTCTTTATTGTACCATCCTCTTTGAATTATAAAGCCTTTTCTTCCTCTCTACCTACTTTATTTACTCACCTAACCAATAGAACCTTTGATTATATTTAATATAGACACCAGGATTGTAAAGAGAAAAATTACCTGACCCTTGCTCTTAAGTAAATAAATAATTGCTATATATATGCTTTATTAGAAATGTTCACAAGTTATGGTGTTGAGATCAATTCTTGCCGGAACTGGGGGGAAGAAAAGTGTCCCCAGAGATGGTGAACCTAGAATGAAATCTTGAAAGATGAGGTATTTATTGGGATGGTCTGTGGGAAAGAGCTTCAGGCACAAGGACACTCATGAAGTCATGTGTGAAGGCATAAATATAATAAGGGATTAAGTAACACCAGTCAATAATGAAAAATCCGCACCTAATTTTTAAATATGGGCAAGGATATAATTTATAGAAGAAAATGTTTAAATCATTCTATTGCACCTTCTCAATTATTCACAGATTTTAGTATTTTAGTGGCCCCCTCAAAAATGACACTTTTCAAAATACTTAGTTTTTTAATAAAGAATGTCAGGGTCTAAAGCTATGCATTTTTCCCTTGAGAATCATTCATGCATTCAGTAAATTATTGATTAAATACATAGTATGCCCCTCACCAGCTAGGTGTTGGAGATAAAATACCCAGAAAGATACAATTCCTGCATTTCCAGAGATCACAGTTTATTGGTGAACAGGCTTTGATTAAATAAAGCTAGACTCATTTTCAATAGAAAAAATCCATCCAGTAAACATACAGTCTTTTACTGAATTGTTTCTCAAGCAATAGCTAGGTAGGCAGGTAGACAGACAGGCTGGCAGCCAGATAGTTTACGCACCACTATTTTGAGTAATTTGACACTGATGCAAGAAAATAATTACCTGCTTCAAATCAGTGTAGAAAGGATTACCTAATACAAAAAGAATTCACATTCTAAGAAAAGAGGAAAGGTTTTACTATGGTCTCTGGAAATAGTTTTACATAATAATAGAACAATAAAAATAGAAATAGCATCCAGAAGGTGCAACCCCAACTGTTTTAAGTAGTATTTGGAGAAAAGTTCTTAAAAAGGCATTGCATTGGGGCGCCTGGGTGGCTCAGTGGGTTAGGCCTCTGCTTTCGGCTCGGGTCATGATCTCAGGGTCCTGGGATCAAGCCCCACATCGGGCTCTCTGCTCAGCAGGGAGCCTGCTTCCTCCTCCCTCTCTCTGCCTGCCGCTCTGACTACTTATGATCTCTGTCTGTCAAATAAATAAATAAAATCTTTAAAAAAAAAAAAAAAAAAAGGCATTGCATCGGGGCACCTGGATGGCTCAGTAGGTTAAGGCCTTTGCCTTCGGCTCAGGTCATGATCCCAGGGTCCTGGGATCGAGCCCCACATCGGGCTCTCTGCTCGGCGGGGAGCCTGCTTCCCCCTCTCTTTCTCTGCCTGCCTCTCTGCCTACTTGTGATCTCTGTCTGTCAAATAAATAAATAAAATCTTTAAAAAAAAAAAAAAAAAGGCATTGCATCTTGCAAAAAAGAGCGCCAAAATTAAAAACAGTAACTTCAGAAGACCTACTAAAAAACGTAGTAACACGGGGTTTCCTTTTGGTGATGAAGATGATTTGGAATGAAGAGGTGGTGTTTATACAACACTGAATGTACTAAATGCCACTTTTCTGTATGCTTTAAAAGAGGTAGTTTTATATTAAATTCATTTTAAATTATTTCAATTCAATCATTTTAAAGTGTGAGTTTGATGTCAATAAAAAAATAATAATAATGGGAAACAATGAGGTACTGTGTTGAAAGAAAATTAGTAGAATAGAGGATAAGCATAAGAACTACAAGCAATAAGAGCTTCAAGGTTGGTGAACACATGGAAATGCAGGGCACACCCAGAGGGTATGGAAGCTTTGTCCCCCTTCCCAAGTACCTTGCCTTATGCATCTTTTCCATCTGGCTGTTTCTGACTTTCATCATTCTTGAATAAACTGGTAAACATTTGCCTATGTTGGATACCCACCTTGCTTTATTCACGGAAAAACCCACCCTGGCGATCTCTCTGCAGTAGTATGTCGAGGAGTCCGTGGTTCTTTTTGCAGTCTCTGAGTCTTCATTTTGTAGCTTATTCAACCAGTCAGTTGCTGCTGGTGGACATTTGCTATGTTTCAAGTCTTGCTGTTCTAGCAGAATTCCAATGAATAGCAGAAAGAAGAAATACAAACATAATTTTAAGATTAAACAGTTGAAAAGGATTAAGAGAAAAATATAAATTTTCAGAAAAGACACTGCATTAAAATAAGTGTATTTATAAAATATTTGAATAATAGCAGTGAATCCCCAGAATCCATAAGCAAATCTAAAATTTTGCAAGTATTCAAAACCAAAAGCAAGTTGCATTCTATAGTTACAGAAATTACATTGAAAATTAGTTTTATTGTCACTCCTGGGTGACTCACTAGGTTGAGCATCATCTTGGTTTCTATTTAGGTCATAATCTCAGAGTCCAAAGATCAACCCAGACGGAGTCAGGCTTCTTGCTCAGTAGGGAGTCTACTTGAGATTCTCTCCCTCTTCCTTTGCCCCACACCTGCATGCCTCTGTCTGCCTCTCTCTCTCTCTTTCTCTCTCTCTCTCTTTAATAAATAAATTTTTAAAGAAAAAAATTACTTTTATTGTCTTATGGTGTATTAATTTAGTGTGAAAACTAAATGGCTTCACTTTTTTTCCCTCCAAAAGTGGCTCCTTCTATCACAATACATAGATGCCTCATGAGAGCTTTTGTACTTACATATATCATATGTAACCCATATTCCTATGTATTTTATAGGTACCACTCAAGGAACTCTTGAACCAAACTGAAGAAGAAATTAATAAAGCTCTAAATAAAAAAATGGGGTTAGAGGATACTTTAGAACAGGTAAGTAACAAAATATAGTTTTTAAAAGCAAAAATAAGATTTTTAACTCTTAAAGATGGTTTGTAGTTTCTAAGGAATGAATTTGTAGTTTTTAAGTAATGAATTTTTAAGATATTATTTAAAAGGAGAATTGAGTATTCCCTTGACTTAGAAATATTTGAGGTAACTTTTTAAAATAACTTAAACAGGGACGCCTGGGTGGCTCAGTGGGTTAAAGCTTCTGCTTTCGGCTCGAGTCATGATCCCGGGGTCCTGGTCTCTGCTCAGCAGGGAAGCCTGTTTCCCTTCCTCTCTCTCTGCCTGCCTCTCTGCCTACTTGTGATCTCTGTCTGTCAAATAAAATCTTTAAAAAAAATAAAAATAAATAAACATCCTAGGCTACACATGTCATTGATGATGAAATAATAAAGTACTGAGTAAATTATCCTTGATTTTAAATGAAGAATTGCCCAGGCGCCTGGGTGGCTCAGTCATTAAGTGTCGGCCTTCAGGTCAGGTCATGATCCCGGTGTCCTGGGATGGAGCCCTGCATTGGGCTCCCTGCTCAGCAGGAAGCCTGCTTTTCCCTCTCCCACTCCCCCTGCTTATGTTCCCTCTCTTGCTGTGTATGCGTCTGCCAAATAAGTAAATACAATCTTTAATAAAAATAAAAATAAATGGAGAATTATCTCCTTCAACTTCAGATAATTTAATATACCTTTTTCTTTTTAAGTTTTATATATATTTAAGTAAATCTCTACACCCAACATGGGGCTCAAACTTACAACCCTGATATCAAGATTTGCATGCTCTTTGGACTGAGCTAGCCAGGTGCCCCTTAATATCTCTTTATACTATAAGGAATTTGAGATGGCTACCTTAAAAATAGATATGTATCACTTGGGGCTTGAGGCAAAGTAGCTATGATAAATTAAGAGATTTTTATTAACCACATTTTTCATTCTGCACTATGAAATTCAGGGGAACTCAAATGCCAATAGAAGTCTACTTCCAAAAAATGTTTCATAAAGTTCCTTCTTCTAAGATACTTGAAATATAATATAATATATAAATATAAATATAATATAAATATATATAAATATAAATATAATATAACCAAAATATAATATAACCAGTATAACCAAAAGATAACTCTACTATTGATTCAGTAACCTTTAAATATTGTTAAAGTTGATTAAGAAGCTATTTCTCAACTGCACATAAAAGGTATTGTTTATATGACACCAAACAACTGAAGGAAAACTAGTTAATTCAGCTCAACTCAACTAGTACTGTTAACTCAACTAGTACTGTGGCATCTCAAGGTACAAAATCCTGTCTTTACTAAGAATAGAAATTTGTTTTTCTCATCTGGAAATAAAACCTATGCATTTCACAAATTTTTTCAAGTTAACAAATTCTATCAAAACTTACTTTGTATTAGAAAGAATTCCCGCTCAAAAAAATATAGCAAACTTTTTAACATTAGATAAGTGGGCCTTTTCATGATACTATTGTTATTATAATTTGCGGTTTCTATAACATCACACAATGGAAAGAAGATAAGGAGCTAGGTCTACTTAAACAGGTACTCTGCAGGTGTGTGGGTTATTTAAGATGACATCTTCACTTAAGTTCCTTCGGTTTGATTTCTCTCTTTCGTTGGAATGGGCACTAAACCTGCAGACTTTCAAACTGACTTGAAACTTTTTAAAAGCCGTAGGCAGGAAAACCTGGAAGGGACGCCCCAGGGAGTTATAAAATGCCTACTATAGGTGGGGCACCTGGGTGGCTCTGTTGGTTAATCCTTGACTCTTGATTTCAGCTCAGGTCATGATCTCAGGGTCTTGGGATCAGGACTCCACCATGCCCAGTGGGGAGTCTGCTTGAGATTCTCTCTCTGCCCACTGCCCTCCATGCTCACTCTCTCTCTGTCTCTCTGAAATTAATAAAACTTTTTTTTTAATGCCTACTATATAGTATAGGCTATACTATAGTATAGGCTGTAGATAAATATAACAAGTTTGAATGAAGTATAAACTCCCATTTGGAGGAAAAGACTGACCTGTAGTTACACTAATCAGGTTCACATTTTTCAAAACCCTTTTGGTCATAGAAAAGTGACTTGTGGGGAAGCACTTGAAATTGTTAAGAAGTTAAACCAAAGTATTACAGTAGCAATAGAAGGAAGGGGACAGATTTAGGAAATGTTGAGGTAGACCTCAAGCAATTTTTGGCAGACTGTAAAAGCTGGGAGGGAAAGAAGTACCAACAGTAACTTCCATTTTTTCCAGTGTGGGCAACCTTGAGGAGGAAAAATGAGTGCAACTAATCAGCCCTGTACTGGTGATATTGAACTTGCCGTCTGCAGAACACAGACATCCAAAAGGAAGCCAAAGTAATAGATTCAGAACATGGGGAGAGATTAGGTCTGAAAATACAGATTTCAGAGTCTTCACCATATAGATGGCTCTTAAACCCAAATGTGGATGATATTTCTGAGACTATGTAGAGGAAAGTGGCAGAGGATCAAATCTTGAGAAACAACACTACTTAAGAGATAGACGAAGGAGATTCTGGGAAAAACTCTTAGAAGAGGACAAGGGACACCTTGATAGCTCAGTTAATTAAGTGACTGCCTTCAGCTCAGGTCATGATCCTGGACTCCCAGGATCAGATCTCCCATCAGACTCACTGCTCAGCAGGGTGTCTGCTTCCCCTCTGACCCTACCCCTTCTCATGCTCTCTCTCTCAAATAAATAAAAATCTAAAAAAAGAAAAAAAAGATGAAGAAGTGGATAAAATAGAGAACAGTCACAGGAAGAAAAATGCTATAAAAGCCAAAGTGGGGAAGACTTTCAGGAAAGCCCTGCCTCTAACTAAATTAACTGTGGTAATTATTTCATATTACATACATATATTAAATCGTTATTTTATACACCTTAAACCTATATAATGGTATATATTAGTTATATCTCAAAACTAGGGGAGAAAAAGGAAAGCTCAGTAATGTCATATACTTCAAAGACTAAAGACTAAAACAGTTTTTAAAATTTGACAGTTTAAAAATATGCAGGGAATGATCCCAATCTTTTGATACCGGTTGAGACCTGATTTAGGACCGAGGATGTGATCTATTCTGGAGAATGTTCCATGTGCACTAGAGAAGAATGTGTATTCTGTTGCTTTGGGATGGAATGTTCTGAATATATCTGTGATGTCCATCTGGTCCAGTGTGTCATTAAAGGCCTTTATTTCCTTGTTGATCTTTTGCTTGGATGATCTGTCCATTTCAGTGAGGGGAGTGTTAAAGTGCCCTACTATTATTGTATTATGGTTGATGTGTTTCTTTGATTTTGTTATTAATTGGTTTATATAGTTAGCTGCTCCCACGTTAGGGGCATAGATATTTAAAATTGTTAGATCTTCTTGTTGGACAGATCCTTTGAGTATGATATAGTGTCCTTCCTCATCTCTTGTTATAGTCTTTGGCTTAAAATCTAATTGATCTAATATAAGGATTGCCACTGCTGCTTTCTTCTGATGTCCATTAGCATGGTAAATTGTTTTCCACCCCCTCACTTTAAATCTGGAGGTGTCTTCGGGTCTAAAATGAGTTTCTTGTAGGCAACATATAGATGGGTTTTGTTTTTTTATCCATTCTGATACCCTGTGTCTTTTCATTGGGGCATTAGCCCATTAACATTCAGGGTAACCATTGAGAGATATGAATTTAGTGCCATTGTATTGCCTGTAAGGTGACTGTTACTGTATATTGTCTCTGTTCCTTTCTGATCGACTACTTTTAGGCTCTCTCTTTCCTTAGAGGACCCCTTTCAGTAATTCCTGTAGAGCTGGTTTAGTGTGCAAATTCTTTCAGTTTTTGTTTGTCCTGGAAGCTTTTTATCCGGATGGAACTAGAGGGTATCATGCTTAGCAAAATAAGTCAATCGGAGAAAGACAACTATCATATGATCTCCCTGATATGAGGAACTGGAGATGCAACATGGAGGGTTAAGGGGGTAGGAGAAGAATAAATGAAACAAGATGGGAGTGGGAGGGAGACAAACCATAAGTGACTCTTAATTTCACAAAACAAACAGGGTTGCTGGGGGAAGGGGGTTGGAAGAGGGGGGTGGGGTTATGGACACTGGGGAGGGTATGTGCTATGGTGAGTGCTGTGAAGTGTGTAAACCTGGCGATTCACAGACCTGTACCCCTGGTGATAAAAATATATGTTTATAAAAAATTTTAAAAAAACTTAATAAAAATAAAAAATTTGACAGTTTAACCGTATTAAGATAGCATAAGGTAACTATCTAATCAAATAAGATAGCATTTGAAATAGTAATGGCTAGGGGCGCCTGGCTGGCTAAAGCCTCTGCCTTCTGCTCAGGTCATGATCCCTGGGTCCTAAGATCGAGCCCTGCATCAGGCTCTCTTCTCAGCGGGGAGCCTGCTTCCCCTTATCTCTTTGCCTGCCTCTCTGCCTGCTTGTGATCTCTGTCAAATAAATAAATAAAATCTTTCTTTAAAAAATGAAATAGTAATGGTTAATCATAAATTAATGAATTAAAATAACTAAAACAAAAACAAAATTCCAGCTGAGTAAATTTGAAGATCTAATTGGCTTTATTCAGCAAGTCAGAAATTGGGCAGCATCCCGTTTAACAAGTAGACAAGAACTCTAAAGGACTACAGAAAGGAAAACAATTTTTAAGGCAGGACAAGGAAGTCATAAACTAAAAAAAAAAAAATTATTTGAGGCAAGATTTCACCTCCCTTTGAAAGATAAAGGGTCTTATTAGGTGGATTACCTCACTCATGTTAACCAGGAAACTCCAGACTGACCAGTCCTAGGGAGATCATTTGCTTGGTAGTTCAAGACTGCAAACATACATGTAAAGCTTTTGAGAGAATATAACACACTAGGAAATTTTTATGATTATAATAAATAAGGTAATTCCCAGTGTTTGGAGTGCCTTTACAACCATGATACCCAGGACCAACACCAAGTCATC